GAATCTAAAACGAAGTATGAAAATTAATGCTTGAAACGAATAAAACACAGTTGGAAGATTCTACAAAGGAATCAATGTCCTAGTCCTAATAATGTAAGCCATAGCAAGGTGAATCAGCATTGGGATTTGCCACCAGCTAGCAATAAAGAAAGTAAAAAAAATACTTTCTTTAGACGTAGCGATCCATTGTGTAGATGAACTAGGGTTCATGTTTCTTGACTTCGGCATATGAAGGGATGGCGTGGTCAGCACTATGCCCAACGTATTGTCTGGTACCCATCAGAGCTTGGTGGATTAATCAAAACCAGGACCGAACTCGAGACTTTGGGGCTGGCCTCCAACGCTCTACCATTCGACCACGTCGCCACACAAACTCACAATAGGATGCATTGAAACATAATATTTAGTTTAAATATTCTAACCAAATGCTAAAGCCACCAAATTGACATATGCTTGTTTTCTACAGATAAAACAATTATTTTCTGGCCAAATTATGTGGCAACTGAACTAGAGCAAGTTTGGAGTTTCTTCCGCGACTATAAGTAAAACAAGTTAAAAAACCGACGATCAAACAATAATCAAACTAATGAAGTTAGTGAACCTTCGACGAATAACTGAAAGCATAATTTACCTTAAACCATTGCATTTCACGAACCTTTGACGATCTTATTCTTACCATAATTTAACCAATGGAGTTTACGAGCCTTCGACGATTGAACCATAATTTAACCAATTCATGAACCTTCGACGATTTAACCATAATTTAACCAATGGATTTTACGAACCTTTGACTATTTAACCATAATTTAACCAATTCACGAACCTTTGACTATTTAACCATAATTTAAGCAATTCACGAACCTTCGACGATCTGTCATAGTGGTCAGTGTCCCCCAGACATCGAGCCAACTATTTAACCATAATTTAACCAACTCACGAACCTTTGACTATTTAACCATAATTTAACCAACTCACGAACCTTTGACTATTTAACCATAATTTAACCAACTCACGAACCTTTGACTATTTAACCATAATTTAACCAATTCACGAACCTTTGACCATTTAACCATAATTTAACCAATTCACGAACCTTTGACCATTTAACCATAATTTAACCAATTCACGAACCTTCGACGATTTGTCGTAGTGGTCAGTGTCCCCCAGACATCGAGCCAGCCCGAAGTCTGTGATCTTGCACACGCCCCTGTCAGTGACCAACACATTGCGAGCTGCCAGATCTCTGTGGACAATCTGGTCAAAGAAAAAAGTCAACTGGAGTTATTTCCCATTTTTATAAACAGTTTTTCTCAAAAATATTTGTCCTTTTGTTGTCTTGATTTGGTTTCTTAGACGCAAATAATTGTCCTTTTACTGTCTAAATAAAATTTCCATTTTTTTCACAACTAATTGTCCTTTTGCGTCTTAAATAAATTCCATCAATGTCCTTTTCGATCCCTACGTATTATCGTTTTAATGTCTAGCCTAGATGCCCTATTAAATGGTCTACGCTGAATGCTCCTATACCCCTACGAACCACACAATCGCCAGCCCCCACCTACCATCGCACCCCTTGCCTCATCTGTCCCCACCCCTATCCCCAACTGTACCTATTTCCCCACCTCTTGCCCCACCTGTCCCCCACCTGTACCTGTCCCCACCATCTGTACCTGTCCCCACCTGTACTCACCTTGTTCTCAGCCAGATGCCCCATACCCCGCCCCACTTGTATCTACCAACCCACCCCTAGCCCCACCACCACCTGTACCTGTTCCCACCACCACCATCTGTACTTGTCCCCACCTGTTATCACCTTGTTCTCAGCCAGATGCCCCATACCCCGCGCCACCTGTAGGCAGAAAGCGAAGAGATCGCTGGACGAGATCCGCTCCTCCTCCACCTCGTCTATGCTGGTGATGCGACTAAAGCAGCTCTCCGTGGCCACACTGCTGCACTGGCTGGACATGCTGCCTCGCCGCGCCGTCTGCCTCGATCGGCTGCTCAGAGAAATCGTGTCGGATGTGACGTAGGCCGGTTTCCTGTCTGAAGTGACGTAGGACTGTTTCCGCTGTTGTTTTACCGGCGACGGCGTAGGGCAGCTGAATTCATTAAATAAAAGATTGGCTTGTAATCGTGCAAAAATCTCGACATTTTACACCTCACTGATACGGAAAAACATAATTTTGCAATCTTGTTCGTATGTATGTGTGTCTGTAAACACGATAACTTGAGAACCGTTACAGCTAGATTGATGAAATTTCATATATAAGTATTTTATCAAAATCGTAGATCCGTATCAACTTTTGAGCGATTTCCGATAACAGGAAGTGGTATTTTTTTTTTACTTTGAATTTTTCAAAAGCCTATAACTTGAGTACTATTTTAGATAGATAAATGAAATTAAACATGTAAGTAAAAGATCTAATTCTCTACCTTCTGTCAAATCTTGAGTAATTTCCGTTGAACGGAAGTACTAATTTGCGATATTTCCGATTTCTCAAAAACTAATGTAAATTTATAAAGTACTAATAATATCCCGCACTCTTAAGCACATTTTATTTGGCGTCCACTGGTGTGCAATTCTTTTTTCTACGAGATTTTATTCTATTTTTAAAAAGTTTTAATTTTTAAAATGGATTAAAATTCATGTCTATATCCCGAGTTCCCATTCCTTGTTTTTTATATAAGAATATTCGAGAAAGTTTAGGGGAGATCACTCCCGGTTTATTTTACATAAGAATATTCGAGAAAGTTTAGGGGAGATCACTCTCGGTTTATTTGAAAAGTAATAACATAAGAACAATTCATTTTACTTGTATTTTGAAGGGAACGCAGCATATTTTTTGTATCAAGAATAAAATTTATTGTTTTTCATAGTATCAATTCAAATATCTTAAGACGGTTAAAGCTCAGGGCAATTTTTACAAAAAAAATTAAATTAAAAAATAAATAAGCTATTTCACCATTTTAGAAAAAAAAGTATCTTCAACTAGCCATCTCGCTTTCACGACAAATTATCTATTTCTAGCACGGCCATCGCCTACTCCTGCATCATTCTTAAGCTAGGCAGTCTGGAAAAACTTTGAAGAATCTCGTATCTTGTATTGTAACCCGCATGGTCCGTGGGTTTTGCCAGTCTTTTGCCTACTTCTCAGATGCACCTGGTTCGTTATGAGCGGCAGTTCGGTCCAGGGTGCCGAATAGCGAACTCGAAAAATCCGCGATTGCAAGTGCACGTTCTATAGATAGACCATCCTATTCATCCTAACCCCAAAAAAACATGTACAAATGGTCTAGTTCGAACCCCCGGGCAGATGAGGCTCGTTAGCTGGGGACAGCCACTCTTCTAGGAGAGACAACTCCAAAAATTAAACAACTGCTGCCTTGTAGTTTGTTCTTGGTTGGACAAAGGCTATGGAAGCAAATCCAAAAGGAAAAGCAGGCTGAAATTGGAGTCAATGGCCTCAATGGCGCATAACCAGTTGACACGTGGGTGATTTTTTTTCTCAAAATGAGTACAGAATATTTAATTCAGAAACAGATCAATCTAATAATACCCTACCTAACCGTGCAAGTTTGGAACCTTACAGATAGATATTTTAAGTTTTTAAGCAACTTAAAACTTTACCCATGTTTATGTTTGACCTTCATTGTTGGAAGCTAATTAAATTTTTTTCTGGCAAAAATAGCTTTGTCATCTTCAGGTAGCATAAAATACGCTTAAAATCTGCCTTTTTTCACGTGATAATCATTTTTTAAAAACCAAATTCTAAGAAAGTCACTTTACTGTTAAGCACTTTACTGTTGTCCACCCAAGAACAAACTACAAGGCAGAAGTTGTTTGATTTTGGAGTAGTCTCTCCTAGAAGAGTGGCTGTCCTCTGCTAACGAGCCTCATCTACCTGAGTGTTCAAACTCGAGACATATCGGTTTAGCAACCATGAGCTTTACCGACTCGACCACACCAACCCCACTTCTGAAGTGATTTCTTAGTAAAAATAACGTTTCTGTAATCCTGCGATGTTACTTACGAATTTCCACAATATTTTTTTTACGTCATCGCGCATATCAAGGTGGGGGACATTGGTGGTGAAATGGTGCAACATAAGGTTTTAGATTTTGATGTGGAAATTAGCCATTTACCTGGGTATGTTGTAAAAGCAGGCATACGACAGTGTACATTTGTGTTGTACGCCTACCACTTGTTATAGTTCAGGCCTGCTAAAAAAAAATTCTTAGATATTTCTACACATTTCTGTATTACCAACAGTAGAAAAAGTGACCACTGCCACTACAGAGTTGTTTGTATTGTGGTTTACATGCATGGGGGTAGGCCTAGAGATTGTACTAACATTTTAAACTAATTATGTTGTATTATATATTGGATATATATATATATATATATATATATATATATATATATATATATATATATATATATATATATATATATATATATTGGATATATTTATATATTTTTAATAGACTGATAAACCTAATAGTTCTTCAATCTTCAATTCATTTTTCTACTTCCCGGGCTAATATTTTAAAAGTTCTATCATTTTTAATGGTACCAACTTTTAAATATACCTTCCTTCTCCAAAGCAAATTTTAAAATGTTTTTCTGGCATATTTTGCCCTGCCACCTATAGCTTGTTTGTATATCGTGAAAAACCAACATTTTTGCTCTTGGTAAACGTTTTAAAAACTAATTGTAAGAAGGTCACTGGAGCTAAGATGAAAAATCTTTGAAAGTCATGCATCTGGTGTGGACATCATATTGATGTTAGCAACGATCCACACCTCCAAGGTAGCGATTAATACTAATAGTTTTGTGTCAAATATAATAGTAATAGATAATTGAATAATAAACCAAAATCAGTGTCCAAATATATCAATATAAGCCAGAAATTAACTTTAAACAGCCTATTTTGCGAGCAAGATTTGCTATATAAACAGCGGCCAACTGTAAATTAGGGTGGTTTCCCTTGAATCTCTAAATCTAGCTTAAACAAGATGGCTGCTTTAGTAAATGAGCTTGGTTGCATCAAGTAAAAACATCGTTAATCTTTATTTATTACTGAAAAGTTTTACTACTGATGTTTTAAAACACGCACATCAATAAAAGTTTGTAACATTTTTGTAGCTTTCAAAATGTGAATCCTTCTAAAAATGCCAACTAATTACAAAAATTTGATAGGTCACCCTTTTTTTCTTTCTCGGTTAGAGAAAGTATTCTGATAGTGCACAAAAATCACATGAAATTGTGACGGTTTTCACAGTTTTTCACCCCAGTCCTTCATCTGGAGTATAGAAGACTTACTTTAATCTGGCAAAAATTATAAACCCACATTTATCAAATTTTTGATGTTTTATGCATAATCGAGTCTGAAAAACTGGGCTTTGCAATTCTTTCAGTGTATGTGTGTCTGTGATCACGATAACTTGAGTACAGTTACAGCTAGGTTGATAAAATTTCATATATAAGTATTATATCAAATTTCTAGTTCTGTATCAACTTTTCAGCGATTTCTGATTAACCGGAAGTGGAATTTATTCTACTTTAAATTTTTCAAAAGCCTATATGTAAGTAAAAGATCTAATTTTCCACCTTCTTTCAAATTTAGAGTAATTTCCGTTGACCAGAAGTAGTAATGGAGGCTATTTCCAATTTCTCAAAAATGCATGTGAATATATAAAGTACTAATAATATTCCGCACTATTATACACATTTTGTTTCGCGTTTCCTTGGTGCGCAATTCTTTTTTCTACAAGATTCTATTCTATTTTAAAAAGTTTAAGTACTTAAACATGGATTTAAAAATCATGTCTATATATTGTATATCCCGAGTTGCCAATCCCCCGTAGTGTTATATAAGAAAATTCAAGAAAGCTTAGGGGAGATCACTACTGGCTTTTTAACATTACTAGCCTCTGCAGATTTTATGTACATAAAACCATAGATTACCTTAGTCTGTTAATTAAGAATAGTAAGGTGTACTTTTGACCTAATTTCTTTATTTATCTCACAAGCGACACTTTAGTGAAAGTAGCTTTGTATATTCTTGTTTTAAAATGATCTTACAATCAAATAAACCTCTAAACTATGATTCTAATGTTATGCCATGTATGATTAAACAACGGTTAGGGAATAATTCTCATGTCCTTAGGTGTGGTCACTATGCCAGTCATATACCCCCCCCCCCCTCCCCATTAATGCCAGTTTATTATAATCTTGTGAAAAACAAGGCGCGTTTAGATGTGTGCTGCGCCCAAAGCCAATCATTTGGCCAGATTTATTATTTGTCATGTCGCCCCATATTTTAAAAACATAAAGCGTTGTGCTTTCCTCATTGATGATTGTTTTTTTTCTTTTCAATATGAATTGTTATGATTGCAGTTTTTGTAACATGGTATACTTACCTTCTGTCAATTTAAAAAGCATGGCATGTTAATTTTGTACAAATATTGTATAAAACAAAAAAAAATTTAAGTTTGATTTTATTTTCTACCATAATCCGCCACTCTTAGGCATATACAATACATTAATTATTTTATTTTTAAAATTGTTTATTGATTGTGTTAACTTTAAGCTATCTAAATTCATTTCTAAGATGTTTTAATATGCTTCTGAGAAGTTTTATTGAAAAAACTTTGTTTTGACTATAGTTTCTAGATCTATATAACACCACTTTAACATTTAAATATCTAATCCTCAGTTTATTTATAAGAAGCAGCATGGGAGAGGCAACTGCTGATTTAGATTTACAGTCTGATGAGTTTAAAGAATTTTCAAATTCTGAAGATGTGAAGCCACTTCTATCTACAGTATTTTCATCTTCTTCTGACATAAAAACAGAATTATCATTTTTAACTTTCCGTGATATCAAACCAAACTTGACATTTATAGCTTCACAGGATGATAAAACCGTTGTTACGCCAGATTTTTCATCTTCTACAGACACAAAGTCAGAATGTACATCATTTTCCTCTTTTGATGATGTAAAACACCATATGACATTTCTAACATCTCAAGATAAAACAACAGGATTTTTAATTTTTAAAGATATGGAACCTGCTGTATCAGCAGTATGTACAAGATCTGAAGATATAAAAACAGAATTAGAAACTTTATCAACCAACACAGAATTAGAAATTTTATCAACTACTGAAGATATAAATCCAGAATTAGAAAATAAATCAACTAGTGAAGATCTAAAACGAGAATTAGAAACTTTATCAACTAGCGAAGATATAATACCAGAATTAGAAACTTTATCAACCAACAAAGATTTAAAACCAGATTTATGGACAACATTTTTAGATTCTGAGGACAAACAACAAAATGGACTTGAAGAAAAGCTAAAACTCCCTGAAGATGAAACATATCTGTCTGTTGATCCTCATAATTGTCATGAACAGTTTTTTCAAAGATCTAACTTGAATAAACAAGCTCAAGTAGGGGAGAGGCCACTTGAATGTGATGCTTGCCATAAAAGGTTTTCAGATAGTTCTAGGTTAAATGAACATAAAAAAGTTCATTCAGGAGATAAACCATTTGAATGTGATGTTTGTCATAAAAAGTTTTCTCAGAGTTCTAGTTTATATACACACAAAAGAGTTCATTCAGAAGATAAACCATTTGAATGTGATGTTTGTCATAAAAAGTTTTCATATAGTTCTAGTTTATATACACACAAAAGAGTTCATTCAGGAGATAAACCATTTGAATGTGATGGTTGTCATGAAAAGTTTTCATATATTTCTAGTTTATATGCACACAAACAAGTTCATTCAGAAGATAAACCATTTGAATGTGATGTTTGTCATAAAAAGTTTTCATATATTTCTAGTTTATATAAACACAAAAGAGTTCATTCAGGAGATAAACCATTTGAATGTGATGTTTGTCATAAAAAGTTTTCTCAGAGTTCTAGTTTATATAAACACAAAAGAGTTCATTCAGGAGATAAACCATTTGAATGTGATGTTTGTCATAAAAAGTTTTCTCAGAGTTTTAATTTATATAGACACAAAAGAGTTCATTCAGGAGATAAACCATTTGAATGTGATGTTTGTCATAAAAAGTTTTCTCAGAGTTCTAGTTTATATAAACACAAAAGAGTTCATTCAGGAGATAAACCATTTGAATGTGATGTTTGTCATTAAAAGTTTTCTCAGAGTTTTAGTTTATGTAAACACAAAAGAGTTCATTCAGAAGATAAACCATTTGAATGTGATGTTTGTCATAAAAAGTTTTCACATGGTGCTAATTTATATGCACACAAACAAGTTCATTCAGAAGATAAACAATTTGAATGTGATGTTTGTCATAAAAAGTTTTCTCAGAGTTCTAGTTTATATAGACACAAAAGAGTTCATTCAGAAGATAAACCATTTGAATGTGATGTTTGTCATAAAAAGTTTTCATATAGTGCTAATTTATATGAACACAAACAAGTTCATTCAGAAGATAAACCATTTGAATGTGATGTTTGTCATAAAAAGTTTTCATATAGTGCTAATTTATATGAACACAAACAAGTTCATTCAGAAGATAAACCATTTGAATGTGATGTTTGTCATAAAAAGTTTTCTTGGAGTACTAGTTTATATAAACACAAAAGAGTTCATTCAGAAGATAAACTATTTGAATGTGATGTTTGTCATAAAAAGTTTTCATATAGTGCTAATTTATATGAACACAAACAAGTTCATTCAGAAGATAAACCATTTGAATGTTATGTTTGTCATAAAAAGTTTTCACATGGTGCTAGTTTAAATACACACAAAAAAGTTCATTTAGAAGATAAACCATTTGAATGTGATGTTTGTCATAAAAAGTTTTCTCAGAGTTCTAATTTAAGGAAACATAGAAAAGTTCATACTGGAGATAAGCCACATGAATCATGTGATTATTGCCATAAATATGTTTCTAGAAAAAATAAAACAGTTCATACTGGAGATAAGCCAGATGAATGTGATGATTGCCATAAATATGTTTCTAAAATAAAGCGGCTCCCGACATATTGGCTCCCGATATAAGTGCTCAAGACAAAATAAATGCATTAACTGGGTGTTTACCAAGTTTTATTTTTAGTGTAAAATTAATGTTGTATTTGTTTAGATGTTAATTAGTTTTGCTCAGCTCTATTAGACTCCTTTGTCACCACGCAAAGGTGCACGGATTTGAGAGAATAATGGTCAATACCATCTTACCATGTCTCTCTTTTAATCGGTTAACAAAAACAACCCTCCCCTTACATTTTGGTGTCAGAAGTGCGATCGCAGATGATCCCTCTTTCTCGAACAACTAAATCCCCCTAACATATATATATATATTTATATATATATATATATAAATAATTATAAACTAGCCGGCCAGGCACCAGAATTTTTTCCATGCATCTACCGCCCCCCCCCCCTATGACTTGTGTGTTGTGTTCAGCATATACCCGGCATAGCCCGGATTTAATATATATATTACCTTTTTAATTAACCCTAACCACAAACAAAAACGCAAACATAACTTGAGTACTGTTTCACATAGAGAAACGAAATTTCACTTAAACGTAAAAGATCTAATTCTCTGCTTTCTTTCAAATTTTGAGTAATTTTCATTGACCTGAAGTAGAACTTTACGCTATTTCCGATTTCTAAAAAAACGCATATGAATTAATGAAGTACTAGTTTTCCGCACTATTATTTAAATATTTTTTTCCGTTCACTTGCTGCGCAATTCTTTTTTCTTTTATGCACTCTTGGTATTTTAAAATCTTGAGGCAAGACCTAGAAACAAATAACCCCATTTTTTTTTGTTTGTTAATAATGGTAACCATGATCACAAGAGAAAATTCAGTTTGAAAATTCACACCTCTCCCTGGCTAGCGAGATATCAAATAACAGTGAGAGAGAACATGTCTTACAAGCCATACACTCGGCAGCATTTGTAAAAGTAGTTACTATAAGTCCATAGTAACGATGAAAACAGTTCTATAGAATACAAGGCATCACTATAACATGACAACACAACTGCAAACAATGGATGGTTGCAATGTTTTTATTGAATACAATGTTTGTATATAAAGTTAGGTGTGTTTATATTCATAGTTATTAAATTTTAATGTTTTATTGACGTTAATATCTAAACTACAAAAGATTGCATTTATTATTATCTATTTTTATCATTGAATGCATTACAATTATTAATGTAGGTTATTGTTTCTTTTGCTTAAATCAATGAATGAATATTATTACAAAACAGTCTTATCTTAATAAAATATTTCCTAAAAAATAATGGGATTCTTGTAATTCATTTATATGGTCACATAAATTGCAAAGCACTGAGTTTACATTTTGTTCGTGATGAGGCAGGGGGGGGGGGGTTATGAACATATTTGCTCTGTAACGTCCTGTGGAGTATGGGGTAGGTCTCAAATGTCTTGTAGGTATGTAATGAAACATACACGTCTGGAGGATCGCTACTATAGGGCTGGTAAGTAGGTCACCAACCAGTTCTACAGCTCAATAAAACCTGCATGAGCCATAGAACTATTTATTGACCTACTTACCAGCCCTATACTTGTCAGCATGTCTAATACTTGTGTCAACAAAAACATTTTGCACAAGATCACTGCGAAGAATGATTTGATTCGTTTTTAAATCGACTTTCTCGGGTTTTAAAAAAAAGTTATCTGCAAAATCCAAGTAAGTTATGTAACATCCGGGATCTCTTAGGTGACTTTAATTGTCAGTTAATATAACCCAGTCATTCTACTATAACTTATCTATTATGTCTGCACTCAGCCAGCATTATATCTTATTTCTTCTCATCCAGCCAACTTTATATCCTATTTCTTCTCAAGCAACCAGCTTTATCTCTTATTTCTTCTCATCCAACCAGCTTTATGTCCTAAAACTTCTCATCCAAACAGCTTTATATCCTATAACTTCTCAATCAACCAGCTTTATGTCCGATATCTTTTCATCCAACCAGCTTTATGTCCTATAACTTCTCAATCAACCAGCTTTATATCCTATAACTTCTCAATCAACCAGCTTTATATCCTATAACTTCTCATCCAACCAGCTTTATAAATTATATCCTATAACTTTTCAATCAACCAGCTTTATGTCCTATAACTTCTCAATCAACCAGCTTTATGTCCTATAACTTCTCATTTATGTCCTATATCTTCTAATCCAACCAGCTTTATGTCCTATATCTTCTAATCCAACCAGCTTTATGCCCTATATCTTCTCATTTATGTCATATCTTCTCATACAACCAGCTTTATGTCCTATATCTTCTAATCCAACCAGCTTTATGCCCTATATCTTCTCATTTATGTCCTATATCTTCTCATCCAACCAGCTTTATGCCCTATATGTTCTCATTTATGTCCTATATCTTCTCATACAACCAGGTTTATGTCCTATATCTTCTCATACAACCAGCTTTATGTCCTATAACTTCTCATCCAATATGTCCGCATCCAGACAAGCGTACTGTTCGCTCTGGAATAGTTCCAGATTGATGTAATCTTTTTCTTTTTCCAGCAGAGTCTCGAACCTGCGATACAGGGCATCAAACGTTGGAAGGTTCTCTGGGAGGAAGGACCAGCAGCTGCACATGAGCTCGTATCTGGGGACAGGGAGGGTTAGGGTTAGTTGGTTGGTTATGGGGGAGTTGGGGTGGCGTTTTGTGTGGGATTGTGGGAGGTGAGTTATAGGATTGTGTGGGGGTGGGAGATTGTGTGGGATTGTTGGAGTTGAGTTGTAGGATTGTGTGGGGGTAGGAAATTGTGTGGGGGTGGGAGATTGTGTGGGGGTGGGATTTATTGTGGGAGTTGAGTTGTGTGGGGGTGGGAGTTTGTGTGGGAGTTGAGTTGTGTGGGGTTGTGAATGGTTGGGATTATGTATGGGGGTGAGTTGTGTGGGATTGTGGGGGTGGGTATGTTTTGATGGAATTGTGTGGGGTGGGATTTTGTGTGGGAGTTGAGTTGTGCGGGTTTGTATGGGGGTGGGATTTTGTGTAGGATTGTTGGAGTTGAGTTGTGTGGGGTTGTGAGTGGGTCGGATTATACATTGGGGTGGTTGCTACACCGAAAAGTCTCGAGTTCGAACCCTCGGGCAGATGAGGCTCGTTAGCTGGGGACAGCCACTCTTCTAGGAGAGACAACTCCAAAATTAAACAACTGCTGCCTTGTAGTTTGTTCTTGGTTGGACAAAGGCTATGGAAGCAAATCCTAAAAGAAAAGCAGGCTGAAATCGGAGTCAATGGCCTCAATGGCGCATAACCAGTTGACACGTAACGCTTAATTGTGTTGGAGGCGTGGTCGAGTCGGCAAAAAGCTCATGGTTGATAAATTCGAGTTCAAACCCACTGGCAGATAAATCTCGATCCCCTTCAACACTAATAATTAAGAACGAAGAAGAAGAAGAAGATACATTGGGGTGAGTTATGTGGGGGGTGGGGGTTGTGTGGAATTTTTTGTGTGTGATTGTGTGGAACTCTTTTGTTGCTGTCGTAATTGATGTGGAATTGTCAAAATTTCTCTAGCTGAGTGGGTTTTTAGTTGTCAAAGTGGATGTGTGTGTTGTCGATTGTGTGGTTAGGATTAAAGTTATGTACATGTCAGAACTGCAGTGCTGAGGTTTCTCCATTTTCTTGCCAGCGCTAACAAACTTGAAGGCGTCATGGGCAGACAACCCGGGGTAAGGACTGGCACCTGAAATCAATCAATCAAACTCTTTAGATCGATATTTTGTCAACTTGGTCTGGGGTGCGTGGGGTGGGTGTGGTACAAGAAAATAAAATATAGAGTGGACATTTGGAACAAAATAGGGCTGGTAAGTAGGTCACCAACCAGTTCTACGGCTCAATAAAACCTGCATGAGCCATATAACTGGTTGGTGACCTACTTACCAGCCCTATTGCCAAGTTCACCCAGTATCTTTTACATCACAGGTACTGTTTATTTTATCTTGAAGGCGGATCTATTCAGACCCATCACGGTATCCCGTGTATTAATATAATAGTATTAATGTACACATTTTGTGAAGCCCTTCTTCATGACACAATGTTGTAGGAAGCTAATGTTATTTTGTTGTATTTGTTTGCTATCTAGAAAGTTCGCTCCGACCCCATCTATCAACACAAAAGTGTATAGTTTGCAATCAGACTGTTGGTTGCAAGACATTCAAGGTGAAGGTTACATGCGCCTGCTTAATGAATTTGCCGAGATTTACAATCTACACCCCCCCCTCCAAACCCATACAGTAGCCCCCTACTACCAAACTAAAGTAAAACAATAGACTCACCCAAAGATAGTCGTCCCCCCTCCAACATCGTAAAGTACACTGTTGTGAACACACGGACATGCCATTCGGGAGATCCGATGCGTAGCGCAACACATAAGACAAACAACCACAAACGGGTTACAAAACAAGACTGAAACAAAGGCTCGTTGAAACTAAAAGAATTTATATACACTATCTACACCTAACACAGTCTAGTTTAAACAGAAAATACACAAGCTAGTAAACTAAGATACAGTGGCTAAAAACTAGTATAAACCTAACCTGTACTAACCTTGGAGACCTGGACAAAACTGAGGCCATCACACACGTTTTCATACACCTTACATACCCTTTCATAAACTGGTACAAACCGGAGTATTACAACTCACAGCACGAGAACTGAACAAGGACTTCGGGATAGGGTACCAAGTAACAACAACACTCACCCCCTTCACTACATAAAACCTCCCCCCCCCAACCCGCCCCCCCCCCCCCTACTAATGTAAACCTATGAACTCACCTAGCGTAACAATCTCCCACAGAAGAATACCGTAGGCCCAGACATCAGATTTAGTGCTGTGTGTTCTGTCAATCAAACTTTCTGGTGCCAACCATCTAACCGGCAGTGGGCCCTGTCAAGTTCAGAAAAACACTTGTTTTTAACTAGATTTATCATTCACCTACCACTTCTGTTATAATCTACTTCACCTACGCCGCTTTAACGGTAACGGGTTCGAATCTAAAACGAAGTATGAAAATTAATGCTTGAAACGAATAAAACACAGTTGGAAGATTCTACAAAGGAATCAATGTCCTAGTCCTAATAATGTAAGCCATAGCAAGGTGAATCAGCATTGGGATTTGCCACCAGCTAGCAATAAAGAAAGTAAAAAATACTTTCTTTAGACATAGCGATCCATTGTGTAGATGAACTAGGGTTCATGTTTCTTGACTTCGGCATATGAAGGGATGGCGTGGTCAGCACTATGCCCAACGTATTGTCTGGTACCCATCAGAGCTTGGTGGATTAATCAAAACCAGGACCGAACTCGAGACTTTGGGGCTGGCCTCCAACGCTCTACCATTCGACCACGTCGTCCCACACAAACTCACAATAGGATGCATTGAAACATAATATTTAGTTTAAATATTCTAACCAATTGCTAAAGCCACCAAATTGACATATGCTTGTTTTCTACAGATAAAACAATTATTTTCTGGCCAAATTATGTGGCAACTGAACTAGAGCAAGTTTGGAGTTTCTTCCGCGACTATAAGTAAAACAAGTTAAAAAACCGACGATCAAACAATAATCAAACTAATGAAGTTAGTGAACCTTCGACGAATAACTGAAAACATAATTTACCTTAAACCATTGCAGTTCACGAACCTTTGACGATCTAACCATAATTTAACCAATGGAGTTTACGAGCCTTCGATGATTGAACCATAATTTAACCAATTCACGAACCTTCGACGATTTAACCATAATTTAACCAATGGATTTTACGAACCTTTGACTATTTAACCATAATTTAACCAATTCACGAACCTTTGACCATTTAACCATAATTTAACCAATTCACGAGCCTTCGACGATTTGTCGTAGTGGTCAGTGTTCCCCAGACATCGAGCCAACTATTTAACCATAATTTAACCAACTCACGAACCTTTGACTATTTAACCATAATTTAACCAATTCACGAACCTTCGACGATCTGTCGTAGTTGTGATGGATTGGAATCACTGACGAGAAGCCACATTGATTGTTAACAGTAGTTTATTCACACCATGAGGAAAGAGAGAGAGAGAGGGCGGAAGTCACGAGACACTTATATACATAAACATGTAAGGGACATCACTCAAGATAACAATATAAATATAATACTAATACAGAAGAGTGAGTTCCCTTGACTTCACAAGTCTCACTATATTACATCCCTTTACCCTTAGTAAACACAACACATCTCTCAATAGAACAATTTACAGTATCCTAAAATCACCAATGAGAAATTATATTGTAACATGAACACTATGGTAGATTACATCCTTACAAACAATGCACAATATGTTACAACACAATTAAAATACAAACAATGATGTCAAAGTCCTTTTGACCTTTAAAATCATAGGTCTAACTTATTTGGGACTTTGATTGTCCTGTTTGACCTTCTCAGTGGCTTTTGATTTGGTGACTCAATATTCTGACCATTTGGATTCTCTATCTCAGGAGGTCTAGGATTTAAGTCATTAACTCCAGAATTTACATTTTCTGACTCCAGACTACTTGGTTCACTCATATCAACAGAACTTGGTTGTGGAACAAACTGAGTTGGTGTGAACTGATCAGATTTGGTGGGATTGATAGATTCACACTTATTATCTGCACAAGTTATTTTTAACTGGTCTGCATGTCTACGGACAATAAGTCCATCATTTGTTTTTACTTTATAAGACACAGGTCCTGTACATTGAACAATTTGACCTGGTATCCATTTTTCCTTTTTCCCATAATTTCTTAGATACACATTATCATTAACTCCAAATTCTCTTTCAATGGATGATTTGTCATGATTTACTTTTTGTGTATGTTGATGTTGGGAAACAGACCTTTGAACAGTTGGATGTAGTAGATCAAGGTGGGTTTTAATTTTCCTACCACATAACAATTCACATGGTGCAACACCTGTTGTTATATGAGGAGTTGTG